TCGGCGCTTATCAGCGCTATACATACTGTTTGCGTGCCGTATGTGACGCGCAACGACAAAAGCTACTGCTAAGCGGAGACATTGAGCAGAACCCAGGCCCCATAGCAGTACTCCAGATGAACGTTTCTTGCCTCACGCCGTCAAAACTCGCAACATTAATGGCGCAAGGAGCAGACATAATAGCCATCCAGGAGACTTGGAAGTCGTCGGAGCAGATCGCCAGCATGCATACTGGAGATTATGTGCTCTATGCACAGTCGCGCATCGGCAAGGGAGGCGGTGTGGCGGTGCTGGTGCAGAAAACTCTCCGCTCCAAGCGTATACCCCTCACCATCCCCCAGCATGACACCAGCCTTGAAGTGGTGGTGCTCCAGGTTGCTCTGGACCAGAACCGTGATCTTATTGTAGCGAGTGCCTATATGAGACCACCACCGCAAGTAACGTAATCATTTAGGCGGTTAGTAAACTGCCCTCCAGCCTCGTCGCCGCTCCTGCTGTGCGGGGATTTCAACATGCATCACCCACAGTGGGAGCCATTCTTGGAGTCTTCTCCAAACGAGGTTGCCGCAGAATTTTTAGAACTGTGCACGGATGCGGGACTCACCTTGGTTAACACCCCTGGTGAGATCACGTATGCTCGTGGCACAAGAGAACGATCCTGTATCGATCTGACATGGTCAAATGCTTTGACTGTGCCAGATTGGTCAGCTTCCGTGTCGCCGCTCATTGATCATTATATGCTAACATTTACGCCGCATCAGGCATTTATGGATACCATACCTTCGGCACCTAAGATATTCTACAGTTGGGGGAAGTGCAATTGGGATTTATTCGTCAAGGACCTCGACGCACAACCTCCGGCATACGACTATAAAAAGCCGTCCACCGGCATTAAAGCTTTCACGAGAGCGTTTATAACTTCGTATCGACGACATTGCCCCCGCGGCATGTACAAGGATGGTCCCAGGCTTTGGGACGACACTCTCATGGAGGCAGAGCGGATTGCTACCGACAGCAAGGCCCGCTATCTACAGTTACCGACGCCCGGCCGTGAGGCAGAAATGCAACGGGCAAGGAGTCAATTCTTCCTCCTACTCCGAGAGCGCCTGCGCAACACGTATCTACGTCGCATCAGCAAGTTAAATCCAGGCGAACCACTCGCATGGAAATACATTTCCGGACGAAAAAGGGCATCACTTCCATCTCCTACATCATTGTCGTTGGGAGATGGCCAACACACTTATAAAACAGCAAGGAGAGCAGCGAACGCTCTCAATCACATCTTTTTTCCACTTCACCCTCTCACAAGGCAGTTGGGTTTTCCAAAGGCATCAAAAGACAGAACCCATCTTTTAAAATTATTTCTTCTCTTTTTAGGCAGCAGGACAAGAACGAGTCTGCTGCTACATCTACTTCAGTTTCTTCATTTTGATTTAGTTCCAAGCCACAGGATAACAGCGAAGCTGCCATCATATATGATTTAGTTACTCATCTTCACTCCCCTCTTGATGCACCTTTTAATCGTACGGAACTGCTTGCTGCGCTACGTAATACGCCGTATGGCAAGGCCCCCGGACCGGATGAAGTCTACAGTGAGGCACTACGACATATTTCGTCAAAGGGTCTTCGATTCCTTATTCGCTGCATTAACCACAGCTGGACGACCGGTACGATCCCGGCTGAGTGGAGACGCGCTACCATCGTCCCACTCTTAAAACCCGGTAAGTCGCCGGAACTGCTTGAGTCATATCGACCCATCAGCCTTACTTCCATTGTGAGTAAGGTTGCTGAGAAAATGGTACTGAAGAGATTGCTTTGGGTGTGGACGCCGCACCCCCACCAGTATGCATATCGTGGTATGCGTACCACGACGATGCAGCCGGCACACCTGATACACGAAGTGGAGCATAATAGAAATCATTATTTCCAAGTGAACCTTCCCAAGAAGAGCGGTATCGGTAATCAACTCCACTACAGACCCCATCGGACCCTGCTGGTGTTGGTTGATTTCAGCAAGGCCTTTGACTCCATAGATCATCGAGTCCTCAGTCGCTTGGTAGCTAATATTCCGGGGGGTGAATTGTAGAAGGTGGC